ATAGATAGATAGAAAGGTAGGTAGATAGGTAGATAGAGATACCCCCCTCTCCCTTAGTTAGACACTATTGTTTCTGTAATGGACAATAAACACACAGACACACATTTCATATGACAAAGACAAGATTTTTTTAAAAACACCTAATTCCCAGAGTTGACTCTGTCACGTGGTGTGCAGCCCTACCTCACAGGGTCCCCAAGGCTGCCGCCTTTGGGAATCAGATCAGGAGTGTGTTCTTCCAAGGCACCTCTGGCTGGATCTGAAGAGCCCGTCTTTCTGTTCCCACCATCCTAAACCAAGCCCATGGCTTGAAGTGCATTCCAGCTCATAGTGCTCCTCCATTGGTCTTCCAAGAATGTTCATCTTTACAAGAGCAGACAGCCTCATCTTTCACCTGCGGAGCGATTGGTGGTGTTGAACCATTGACCTTACAGTTCTCAACGCTCCTTTTCTCAATGAATAGTCAAGCATTTAACCTTTGGCACCACCCAAGGATGTCCAGAAAGATGATAAATTACCCAAAATAATAAAACCTTTTTGTTTGTGAAGAATGTGGTTTTCTGGGTAAAAAAAAATAGAAAACTTAAAAGTAAAGAAACAGCTGAATTATATACTTTTACAGTGGTTACAATGATACCTTTCATGTTGTTTTACCTCCATTTTAAAAAAAAAAAAGATAGAAAGTGATACCAAAAATACCCATACCCACGAGACTACTCGGAACTGACTCATCGTGACCCAACAGGGCAGAGTGCACCTGGCCCTGGGTGGTTCTGAGACTTTCATTCTACTGGAACTAACAACCTCACCTTCCTCTCGAGGAGCAACTAGTTGGTTCAAACCACTGGCCTTTCGGTTAGCAGCATAATGCACAGCCCACTACGTCACCTGGGCTCCTGGGAAAATGAGAGAATAAATAATAAACCTCTGATCCTGAAGAAAGGTACCATTATTAAAGTGATGAGATCAGTCCTGTTCAAATGTTTCAAATTATCATTTGGTCCATTATGATTCAACATGCTGAGTAGGTAAGTCTCTTAGAGAACCTCAGGCTTGTAGGAGTGGTGCAAATGGTCAATGCATTCGGCCGATAACCAAAGGTTGGAGGTCTGAGTCCTTAAGAGGTACCTTGGTAGAATTGAGATCAAGGTAGTGGGAGGAAGGAAGCACCAAAGAGATAGAGGAGAGTTGTGTGTTTCATCAGTGCTATATTGCACCGACTGGCTCATCTCTTCCCCGTGAGCCCTCTGTGAGGGGATGTCCAATTGTCCACAGCTGGGCCTTGGGTCTCCACTCCACGCCCTCCTCCAAGTCACCTGGGGTATGGTTTTTTATTCTGGGTCTTAGATGTCTGATACTTGATCCCATCGACACCTCATGATCACACAGGCTTGTGTGCTTCTTCCAAGTGGGCTTTGTTGCTTCTCAGCTAGATGACCATTTGTTTATCTTCAAGCCTGTAAGATCCCAGATGCTATATCTCATTGATAGCCAAGCACCATCAGCTTTCTTTACCACATTTGCTTATGCACCTGCTTTATCTTCAGCAATCGTGTCTGGAAGGTGAGCATCGCAGAATGCCGGATTGTTAGAACACTATCATGACCTCAATTCTACCTCACAAATTGGATTAGACCACAGCATGCACACTGCTACAGATAAGAACCTGAAACACAGGGACTCCAGGGTAAATAAAACCCCTCAGGGGCAACAAGGAGAGTCAAGATACCAGAAGGATTAGGGGAGGGTGGGGGGATAAAGGGTGAACCAATCACAAGGATCAATCTAGAACACCCTCCCAGGGAGATGAATAACAGAAGTGGGTGAGGGGCGAGGGAGGACAATGTAAGATATGGAAAAAACATCTATAACTTATCAAGGGTTTGTGAAAGAAGGCAGGCGGGGGGAGGGAGGAGGGAGAAATGGGGAGCTGATATCAGGGGCTCAAGTGGGAAGAGAATGCTTTGAAAATGATGATGGCGGCATATGTGCAAATGTGCTTGACACATTGGAAGAATGAATGGATTGTGATAAGATATGTAAGAGCCCCCAGTAAAAGGATTGAAAAAAAAAGAATGCCAACAAAACTCAGAGTGCCTGGGTTATACGCTTAGAACCAAGGGAGAAAGGGCATAGCCCCGCCAATCTCCAGAAATAAGATTTCTCGTCTCCAGAACTATAAAAAAATAAACTTGCATTCTGTTAAAAAAAAAGAAAAGGACCTTGGTAGAAAGGCCAGGCAATCTGCTGAAAACTCAGCTATTAAACCCCGTAGGCTAGTCCTCCTCCAACATCCATGAGGAGCTGTGAGTCAGAGCCAACTCCAGGCCAACTGCTTTTTGTCTGTTTGTGTTTATTGCTTTCTGGAGAAATCATATTTGTTATACTCATAAATGTCGGTCACTTTTGGATTTAAGTGGCTTGTTTTTTGAGCTGGCACATCAATATTTATTAGGAATGTCCACCCACAAAAGGAAAGATTTTGTAATGAAATTTGGGGCCGAAGATTCTTTTAATTTCACACTGGCAACGTTACCAAACTAAACTCACTGCTGTGGTGTCGCTTCCAGTTCAGAGTGACCCTTAGGACCGTCGAACTGCCCCGGTGGGTCTCCCAGACTGTAACTCTTGATGGGGATGGAAACCTTTGTCTTTCTCTCATGGAGTGACTGGTGGTTTTGAACTGCTGACCTGGTAGTTAACAGTCCAAGGGGTACCCACCATACCGCCAGAACTCCTGTAATGTGGCCAGCTCAATCCAACCTGAAGATCTGCCTGTAGAGAGTGGCGGTATTGTCTGACTTTACAAATCACACAAAGATTCACAATTACAGAAAAGGGTTTTTATTTTCAGTGAATTACTGGGAGTTCAAAATTCCAAAATGGAAGTACAGATATTTAGCCTGAAACTGGTAACACTCAAACTCTAATAGAGATGGGAGACAAACATCTACTATTCCCACTTATTTCCTGATTGGCCAGCTGCAAGACTTTTTTAAAAGATTTTTTTGGATGGGAATTGGGTGAAGACCATCAGTTTTACATTCAACCATTCATACAGATTTTGTTTCATGTATTTGAGGTACCATCACTTACCCCATTTCCTCCCTGGATTTCCTACTCCCCTACTTCTATCTTTCCCAGCCCTCTGAAAGTGGTCCTGGGGTCAGTGCTGCCCCTCTTGATCGCAGTGGTCTATCATTCTAAGGTGGAGCACCTCCCTAGTGTTATGGGCCAACACTCATAGGCTTGTCTATGGTTGAGCTGGAAATTGCCCCACAGGGGGATTTCAGTCCCAGACTTGAAGGAATTATATAGATATGCTCCTTTATTTCTGCAAGAAACATCCATCAGAATCTTGGAGATGCTAGAGTAGGAGAAAAGGCAATGCCCTTTGACCCTGGGCAGCCAGGTGGTAGATATGACTCTCACTGACCAGCTGCAGCCTGGGATAGGGAACATCTCCTCTGAGCCATAAACCCCCTGCCACTGGGTCCATTCTGACCCACAGCAACCCGACCCAGGGTTTCTGAGACTGTAAATCACCACAGGAAGAGGCAGCCTCAGCTGTCTCCCTTACAGTGGCTCCGGACTTTGAACCGCTCACCTTGCAATGAGCAGTCCAACGCTTAGCTGATGGTGCCACCAGCACCAATTCCTGAACCCGGTAGAAGTTGGAAAATAAACGCCACAAAGGTGTCTCCATCTGGTTGAGATGGGAACTAAATTAGATAGCAGAGCCCCCACCTCAGAATAGGTGCCTTACAGAGGTTCGATTCCCTCTCCCATTTACCAACTTAAATATTGTGGAAGTACCTACAATAATTTAGGAAAACTCTTTGGGGTCCCAACATGCTAACAAATAAAATATGTTTTTAATGCTAAACTGGCACCCATGGGATCCTGTGTGTGTGTGTGTGTGTGTGTACATGTGTGTCTTCTCGTTATATCATAAAAGTATACGTGTTCACAAAGGGATCTGAATTCAGAGGCATGTGAACTTGGGAGCTGTGTCCCATCTCTTCGCTCCACCTCTTCCCAGAGACACGGGTGCTTAAGGAAGCGGCTTTAAGAGGTCTGTCAGATGCCTGTCTTGTCCGGTGAGCACATCACTGAGGCAGGCACGGGTGGCAAAATGGTGCTGGTGGGAGTGGATCAATCCTTCAAGACACTTGATGATTTCATAGTCAGGAAGGGCGAGACTGGTCACCCTCAGGCCCAACATCTGGGAAATCACTTCTCTGAAGTCCATCAGCTGCAAAATCAGACAGAAACGTATTACCTGGGAGAAGGAAGTGTATTCACTACTGCTGGGCCCAATGAACCAAGAAGTGCCAAAAAACCAACTGGGGAAAACACATGTTTGCACACGGCATACAAATTAGGCCATCTGCTGCCATGGTGACCACTTGAATCCTGGCAACCTTGTGTGTGTCTGAGTGGAACCGTGCTCGATGGGTTTCCAATACCTGTGATTGTTCAGAAGAAGATCACCAGGCCTTTCTTCCAAGATCTGTGGGTGGATTGGAACCACCAAGCTTTTGCTTAGTAGCAAGTGCTTCACTGTTTGCACCAACTAAGAACTCACGTAGGCAAATCACCTCCCTTGTTTAGTATTTGTTCTCTCATGTCTACTAAAATATCTCTGAAGTCCCCTCGGGTTTCCATCGTCAGTAATTTCACAGCCCCTTTTCTGATTATCAAGGAGTCCTGCTGGCACTGTCCGGTAAGCATTGGGGTGCTAACTGCAAGGTCAGTGGTTCAAACCTCCCAGTCCCTTCTTAAGAGAAAGAAGAGGTCGTCTGTTCCCATCAAGATTGACAGTCTCGGATGTCCTGTAAAGAATTGCTGTGAGTTGGAATTGACTCCATGGCCAAGGGCTTGAGAGGGTTTGGGGTTTCTGATTCTGAATGTCACATGGCGACCAAGTCAGAAAGCCTGGTTAAGTAGCTGTTACCTAGATCCCCACCTCACGAAGACTCAAGTTTCTCGCCCAGGGTAGGTATCACCGTCTCCCTACCTCTCAGGGCTGTAACATTCAGAGCAGGATACCTGAAAACCTGCCTGTGTGCTCTCCGCATGCAGACCTGCTACACAAATGTAGGTGGGGCCAGGGATGGTTAGCTCCAGGTATTGCAATGCTCACTGGGCAGCGAGCCTCCTCAGTGAATGGGAGATTAAAGGTCAAGAAAATATAAGCTGATGAGAAAGAAGGACTTCGAAACCTTCAGATCCCCTCAAGCACAGATGACGCTGAGACTGGACTTTTGTGTGCAGTTAGGGTGACAAACAGGATTCGGTGGAGATTCCAGACTACGGTGGACTTAGAAGGAAGGCCTTGGGATCTACTTCTGAAAAATCAGCCACCATAACCCTAATGGATCACAACAGTCTGATCCCTTTGTTCAGCGGTTGGAGACCAACTGGATGGCAGCTAACAACAGTGGGTGTCCATTGATCGCGGCCAACTGGACACTGAAGGCAATGGCTGAGGTAGACCTCAATCGCCTTTGAAATCTCATAGGTTGGTTTCCGAGCTTTGAGTCCAGGCTAAAGCAAGGTTGCTTTCTAACACCCTACCAAGGTACCTCCCACTTGAGAAGAGGTGGCACAGGGAGAAGACACCCAAGAGAGCCGCCACTCAAACCTCACTCCCATCCCCCATTGACTTTCTCATTGCCCACCCTCTTTTCCGGCTAAGTCTACACTAGAAGCTAGCCCCTTCCCTCCATTGTTGCCTGATGGGTAGAAAAGTTTCCTTCCAACTCCCGACCCCCTCTCCCCGTCCCTTTGACTGGGAGTCAAAGCTCTTCTCTCCTAGTAGGCTGGCTCTCTGAGCATCCTCACTCTTCAGAATCGGGCTCCGCCCAGATCTGCCTGACACGTGAGCCAATGCAGAGGCAGCCAAGGAGAGAGCGAATTTAAAAAAACACCAGGACCAGTGTCCACTGCATGCCCTCTGAGCTTCAGAAAGCAAGCAAGATGAAAGCCAAGAACGATGGGGTCAAGCTGCCCGGAGGGCTCTTTATGCGCTTGACCTCCTGATGCATTGCCCAGATAAAACACGCTGACCAGCCAGCAAGTGAGAGCTGTTTTATGGCTTCCATCTGCACCTGGTCAGCCATCAAGCCTGTGTGCCACTGTTTGGGATTTGGGACGATGCCCTGCAGCAGCTCCCAGCTGGAGATCAGGTTCCCCTCCTGCACCCTCCACCCATCCTGAATCTGCTCTGGGAGGAGACAAGCCCCGGAGACAGCCACCGAATGTCAGAGAAACCTCGCCGCAGCCAGAGCCTGGCTCCTCCCAGGCTTTCAGCTGCCCCGTCTTCACGTTTCTCTCCAGCTCATGACATGGAATGTGAACTCTTTCTCTCCAAGAGCAAATCATCATGGTTCTGAGCAATGCCAGCAAGATACCTCGGGGAGCAGGTTGGTCTGCGAGATGGTGCCCCTAACCTGGTAAAGGTCCTGCCAATCCTCAAGCCAGCAAGCTTTCAGACCCACCTGCTTTTCCCTCTTTTCTGCCTCCTCCAGCGATTTCTTTAGGGTCTTCATCTCACTGGTCACCACTCCCATCATGCTCTGGGTCCTCTCTTGGCGCTCCTTGGCCTCCTGCTCTGTGGTGTCAAGTTCTGCCTTAAGGGACAGGAGCTTCCTCTCAGCGTTCTCCTTCATCTTCTCCAGTTTGTCTCTGGATTCACTTAGGTCTTCGATGGCTTTGGTTTGTTCCAAGGTTTTAATCTAAGAAACCAAGAACATGCAAATAATGCCCTTCATATTTATTTAGAAAAATGGTATACACAAGACAAATCAGAAGTTTACGGAATCCACTTAGCTTCTTTTTTAATGAATAAAAACAGAGCTCATCCCAAACAATGATGAGGCTTTGCTGAGCATCTTTGCTAGACAAACATGTTTTAAGACAGTTGTTGCTTAGAAATAACATACTGGTGTATCGAGGTTTGGCAAGTCATGAAATACCATGACCCCAGAGGCTGGATGATAAAATGAAGTCTGCTAACACATTCACACACATATATAGAAGTTCAGGCAGCTTGCACCTGCTTTCTCTATCATTAAGTGATCCCTGGCGCATCAGCATCAATCAGTAACCAGTTGTCATGGGATTGATTCCAACTGTTGACCAACCCAAGCATGTTACAATGCAACCATGTTCCAGGGAGTTTCCACTGGATGGCTTGTCAGACAGAGATCACCAAATCTTTCTTCGGAGGTACCTATGGGTGGACACCAACTGCCAGCCTTTCGGCTAGAAGCCAAGTGGGTACCATCTAGGGACTCCTGCATCAGTATCAGGAAGATCAAACCATCGCCTCGCCTTGCGGTGCATCACAATGAGTCCTTGCCTCAAACACCCTCCCAAGCTTGCAGAGAAGTTGGCCAGTGATTTTGCACAAGAGATGTGCCAGACTTGCACTTCTTTGCTGCTTTCTAGCGAGTGCAACAGGTGGGAGGTGGCAACAGATTTCCACTACAAGCAAGGTGGAGGAGGGATGGCCCCTCTACCAAGCTGTTCCAGCAGCTGGAAGTCAAACCACGAAATCTTCTGGAGTCTAGGGCACACTTTCTTTCTCAGCTTAGTATTTAAAATTATACCAAATCAGCTTCCAAGACAAGCATCCCTGGTGGTGTAGTGGTGGTGTATTGGGCTGCTAACGGAAAAGTCAATAGTTCAAAACCACCAGCTGCTCTCAGGAGAAAGATGAGGCTTTCTACTCCCGTAAAAAGTTACACTCTTGAAAACCCACACGGGCAATTCTACTGTGTTCCACAGGGTCACTATGAGTCGATACTGACTCAATGGCAGTGAGTTTGTGGAGAGCTTAAAAAAGGCTTTGAGATCATTCCATTTGAATTCATTTCACATATTAAAAATAAAGTTTTTAGATATGAGAGCTAAAATTAGATCTGGTCATTTCCTATCCACTAGGATGGGTCTAATAAAAAAGGCAGACAATAAAAATGACGACATGGAGAAACTGGAATTCTGGTGGGAATGTAAAATGGGGCGTTTTGAAAAGTCCTTTGTCAGTTTCTGAAATGTTAAACACAAGTGTTACCATATAACCTGGTAATTCCACACGTAGGTTTATACCCAAGAGAACAGAAACGCATATCTACATAAAAACCTACACTCACATACATTAAAGTTCATTGCAGCACTAGCCACAATAGCCAAAAGGTGGGGACATCCTAAATGTTACATCAACACATAGGTGGATAAACAAAATGTGGTACATGCATACAGTGGAGTATTACTCAGCCATGAAGAAAAGGGAAGTTCGGATATACACTATACCATGGAAGACCCTGGAGAACATTATGGTGAGCAATGTAAGTCAATCACAAAAGGACACATATTAAACTGCTTACATGAAATATTTAGAATAAACAAATACACAGAGGCCAAAGCTTATTAGTGGCTTCCTGGGGTAGGAGGGAGAGGACAAGGAGAAGCCATTGTTTAGGAAATATTCATCATCTCTTCATGGGGATGGAAAATTTGGCAAAGGTGGTGGCTTCATTACATACTTATTATATATTTATCATTATCACAGTACATATGAAAATATTCTGAATTGGTAACCGTATGTGTGATGGTTAAGGTTCTGTGTCAACTTGGCTGTGATTCTCACTGTTTTGGCATTGATTATGTAATCATCCTCATTTTGTGATCTGATGTGAGCAGCCTATCAGTTGAAAGGGGAGTTTCCTTGGAGGTGTGGCTTACACCCAATATATATGGATATCCTGGAAAAGCTTCCTCTTTCTCAGTCCTACCTACAATCCATCACCCTCTGACTCACTGGTCTAGGGACATGAGCCAGCAGTCATCTGACCTGCAGTTTGGGGGTATCCTGCTCCCAAAGCCTCATGAACCTACTGTGTGCGCTGCACATTTTTTATTCTTTAGCCTCTGAAACTGCGTGAGAAGAAGCCTCCAGACTGACCCACAGTGGCCAGCCTCTACAACTGGGTGAGCCATTTCTTGAACTAAATCTCTGTATGTGTACATTTCTGGGAGAAAGGTGAGGCCTTTGAGCTCCTGTGAATATTCGCAGCCTTAGCAACCCCAGGGAACAGTTCTAGCCTGCCCTATAGGGTTGTCTAAGTTATAATTAACTTTATGGAAATGGGGTTGGATGTGGGGGCGTGATTTTGTTAAACATATACTTCTTTGGTGTTGTCTCTAGAGAACCCAGCCTAAGACAGTGTGCTTTATATTTATGTACTGACTGGAATTAAACAAACCGATACACAAGACTTTATAGCAGTAACATACATAATAGTCAAAAAGTAGAAACACTGTCATTCCATTAATTAATTAATGAATAAAAAATGTGATTTATCCATAAATGAAATACTATTAAGGCATAAAAAATAACAAAATATAAATTCACCCAACCACAGGGATGAACACTGAAAACATTATACTAAGTAAAAGAACCCAGTCAGAAAAGATTGGATTCATCGCATGATTCCATTTACACGAAAGATCCAGAAAAACAAATCCACAAAAAGTAGGTTTGAAGTTGTCAAGGGCTGGGTGGCAGGGGATGGGGAGAGACACTAAGGGGTGCAAAGTGTCCTTCTACGGTGATGGAAATGTTCTGAAACCAGTGGTGATGGCCCTAGAACTCTGGGGTGACATTAAAAACCACACAAGTGTACACTTGAAAATTTTATGATATGTAAATTATAGATTCATAAAGCTGTTATTTGACAGAAAGCACCCTTACCACGAAAGCCTTAACCACCATCCCAATAAATGACTTTGAAGTGTTTTCTCAATGCAAATAAACAAGTGACTATGGAACAAGCAGCCAGAGTAAAGACCAGGAGAACTCCGAATTCCACTCCGAGCTTAGGAGTTCAGATAAACCTACCGGTATATGCTTTCAAAAACAGCATCATTTTGTCTTTTCATTTTGCTGACAATCGTGCAAAGAGTTCAAAGCGATAGAATAAAAGACAGCAAAGAGTGAGTACTTGAGGTCTTCTACTTTCCCTCACTCCCTCCTCACTGCATCTACTCTCCTCGGTTTCTTCTGGAGCAGATGGGGGGCTACAGAACAAAAGCCAGGCAGAGAGGCTAAGTGCATTTACATAAGCAAGAAGTAAGGAAAGGTGGGTGTAGGGCATAAGTGCAGCGAGCCCGTGCTAAGTAGGTTTCGAGAATTGTGTCTTGAAGGAAGTGGAAAGGGTGATGAGATGACTGAGGAGCCCATGAATCTCAAGTCAGCAACGTAACCAAAAGGAAAGAGAAAGAGAAAGAAATCAAAGATTTTAGGAAACACTGCTGCCTCGACTGAATCAAGGCCCCCTCTGCTTTGTCTTGTTTTGTTGAGCAAAACTAGGAAGGCTGACACTGCCAGGTAGTTGCTGGAATGTTGGTTATTAAGGGTTTTAAGATGGCTGTGAGTTAAATGGGTTTTATTTCGAGGAACTGTGAAAGATTAAAATCTTTACCTCATCGTGCGCTTAGAGTGTATCTTCTCTGGAGGATCTAAGTAATGCACAGGAGCACACGCTGACCTGATCAAACACTGAAGGGTCTCATGATACCACTAGCAAGTCAGGGGAGTTGTGGAACCCTTTCTAAGACTGGAATGAGGACAAGTGATGGTAGGTAAGTCCAGATGGAAAAGCAGACTCACACCCGATTGGGGGGGGGATGTCCTCAGTAAATTGGGGGAGTCTACATGAAATACCTCCATTCTTCCTCACCTTCAGCTAGCAGGTTGTGTCATCTGCAGGTAGCAAGTTGCTAATAAGCCTTCCTATAAGCCTGATGCGGCAATCTTCTTTATATAATCCTGATGACTTGCTCCGCATATAAATTGAACAAGTATGGTGAGAGAATACAACCCTGACACACCTCTTTCCTGATTCTAAACCATGGAGTGTGCCCTTGTTCTGTTCGCACAACGTCCTCTTGATCCAAGTACAAGTTCTGAATGAAGTGTTCTGGAATTCCCAGTCATCTCAAGGTTATCCATACTTTTGTATAGTCTATACAGTCTAATGCCTTTGCACATAGTCCAGGAAACACAAATAGACATCTTTCTGGTAGTCTCTGCTTTGAGCCAAGATCCATCTAATACCATCAATGCTATCGCTTGTTCCACGTCCTCTTCTGAATTCGGTCTGAACTTCTGGAAGTACCCTGTCAATGTGCTGCTGTAACCATTGTCGGATGATCTTAAGTGAAATTTTACTTGTGTGTGATGTCAATGATATCATTCTATACTTTAAGCATTCTGTTGATTTTGTCTTACTTAGATCCACAATCATGCGCATGGAAGCAGCATTCAAGAGATCAAACGTTGAGTAAATCTGCTGCACAAGACCTCTAGACAATTGAAGAGCATGAATGTTACTTTGAGGACTAAGGTGCACCTGGCCCAAGCCATGGCGTTCTTCATTGCATCAAATGCATGTGAAAGTTGGACATTGAATAAAGAAGACCATAAAAGAATCAATATATTTGAATTGTGGTGCTGGAGAAGAATATCGAAAGGACCATGGATGACTAAAAGGAGAAATTGATCTATATTGGAAGAAGTAAGCCCTAAATGCTCCTTAGAGGCAACAATGGCAAGACTTCATCTTACATACTTTGAGCATATTGTTCCCCAGTCCCTGGAGAACACCATGGTTGGTACAGTGGAGGGGCAACGAAACAGAGGAAGGCCCTCTACGAGACGGACAGACACCGT